CCAAAAAGTGCAATTCTAAAAATTAATCATCATTTTTCCACCCCCAAGATTTATCTTCTATTTTCCCCCCCAACAGTTTTATTTTTTTAAACATTAACATTAGGACTGTCAGCAGATTTCCCAGACATCTCCTACATATGTCCCATATGTTACCTACACACATAAATCCTGTACTCAATGCTTTACTGATTCTGCAACCAGAGATGAATATTGGGCCTTTTTGCTCATTTAATAGAACTGTCTTTCTACTATGATTTCCTTTTCCAAATCCTTTCTGATCTTTGTTTTCCTTACCACAATAACCCATTACATATCCTTGAACACAAACACTTAATTTTATACTCAGATGAATAAAACTTTGTCACGTAAGTTGATCCCATTAAAACAAGCTCCATACAGCTCCTCAGTTGTTTATTACCATTCTCTGGCGTCTGTGCAATCCACAACTGATTTATATGTATATAACTATATACTGTATATATAAAAAGCATACATATATATGAACACTTCATACTTTGATGGAAATATTGAGGGCCAAGCATCCATCAGTCTCTGTACAATCTGATTAGACACATGCCTATTGACTTTGTTATGACTGCACCAGTTTAATCCACCTACTATGTAATTTATTGAATCTGATTTCTTAGGTACTAATTTTTGGTAAGTCATGTCTCATTAAGTCAAATACACCTTGCATGAAGGAACCCCATTGTTTTATTGTTGATGAAAGCCTACCTAACTACGGGCTGCTATTAAAAGAGGCAGTCCTGCCTTCTTTTTGGCTTCCTGTGTGCATCCCTTTCCTTCAACGCAAAACCCCGTTTTTTTCTTGGGAGGATTAACTTTCAGCTCATCACAGCTACTCAGTTGCTGTAGTCATTGTAAGGGAGGACCCAGAAAAGTGAAGCCAGGGACTACAAACAGAAAAGAGAAACAGCATTCAAATTTTAAACTGAGCTAAAATTGCACCGTGATTTAAGTCGCCTATGAAACCGTAGCCTTGCTACTTAACAATGGAGGTAGCTACTTCACCAATCAATCATTAATGCTGTTCACACAATGAGGTTCTGCTATCCATACGTTTCGGTCCTGCTTCCAACAGCACTAATGAGGATTTAGGATTTCAGTTAACCACTGGTTTTAATTGTAATAATTTCACTGGTACACCTACCCACTGCAAAAAACAGGTGTGAAGATTCCACATTGTTTTGCAAAACTCGAGAACATTCTCCCTTTTTCTACATAATATGTATCTTTCTTGAGAAATAGTAGCATCACAGCAAGAGTTTCTATGAACTGGTTAGAAAGAGTAGCACTGTCTTCCTTCAACACTCTAACCTTTTAGTACAGTACCACCTTTGTACTGTAAGGAGTGACTAGACAGCAAAATCAGCAAGAAAGCGAGTAGGACAGATGAGATGTTGTCCATCTTCTGCAATACAGGACCCAGTGCTTTCATTTCCCTGATTAGCAAACCCTGCAGGAAACCTGAAAGCCTACAGTAAGGAGGAGGAAGACCAGATCTAAGAACTCCTCAGGCCTACCTCTGATTCTTTACCAACAAAACTCTTCCAGCTCATTCCAGTTTTATATTTATATTTATTACCACCATTCACGGTACATTGTAACTGTGCTTTGGGGCTACCAAAGTGTCTTTACTCATTAACTACTCTGAAACACTCACTCACTGTAACACATGCACTAAAACTGATGTGCTAACCTGTATTCAACTCCGTATATTCTAGTGCTCATGTAGCTTTGCAGGCTTCAAGCTATTTTAAAAAGTATCTATCTTTCTCATAGATAAAAAGAGCTTTATGACTTCACTCAGATAACCGACATTGATCTCATAGGTGAAAGCATCAAATGTAACCATCTTAATGGTAGAAAAGTCACAGATTAGGACATAAAATATTAAATGAGGAACTGAAAGCAATGGTATTTTTTTTTTAAGACTATAAGATCAATGCAATTCAGAATGGGGGTGTAAGAATAGTTCATTCTGTCACCGTATCTAGTACGTCCAAATCCACAAATTCAACAAAACACTGAGGAAAATCACAGTGAGAACAGAAGGGGATGATTGCACTTACAGCCTCCGTAGAAGTCAAGTGTACTCAGCATAGGACTAGATGAAATAGTGGTAAAAATGTCAGAGTTGAAGGAACTTTCCTTATGTTACAGCTTCCTTGGATAACGTTATTCCAAGCTGCTAAGATAGATTTTGAAGAAGACTAGTGCAGCTCTAGACTTTAACAAGTTTAAAGTACACTCCCTGTATTAATCAGAAACAAGCATACTTGAAGTGAGGTATCATCAGAAGGCATCACCTCTGGATGTAAACAATTATCCAGTGGTTTTCTAACTCAATATTGTGAAAAATGCATTGACATACGTATCACTAAAGATCCAACTGATATTTACTTCACACAACTAAACTCAGGAGCAAAAGAATAACATTTTGTAAGAAATTTATTACACAGATGCACGGTAAGCTAAATAAAAACTTACTAGAAGTATGCCACCGCTGTGGTTTTTCTCTGTTATGGAACCCAGACCTAAATAAACTGTTAAACACTTAGTGTAAAGGTATGCCAAACATTTCTCAGAACTTTCTTAAGGTCCCAACAAAGAATCAACCTTTTTTGCAAAATGAGGCCTAGGTTAAATATTTTATTTGGCTCCTCAAGATGGCCTGAGAAGTTGGGCACCAGCTCCAGATCAGTTCTTGGACTCACATCAAACATTACCCTGTCATTTATCCAGTCAGTCAAAACAATGTTTTCCATCTAAACCTTTAATGTTTATGTCCTGAAAAACTGCAAACTGAATCCAGTTCTTGACATGCGTTTTTTAATCTATATCATCTAATTTAGAGATAATGAACAGCAAAGATAAGCATTATACAATGATTGCAGAATTAATCCTATAAATATTAAAGCCAAAACAGAAGACTGCTGGTTTCATATAGCCAAAGAAAATTAAGATTAAACTGCATTTGTCAGTTCAAGAATAAACTTTGAAAAACACTGGATATACAGATTCTTTTAATTCCAAACAGTTTTAGAATTCAAGAGCCCTCAAACTGCTTTTCCAATCAAAAAGGGTAATCAAAACCACGTAGAACACTTAAAACTATTCCTAGGCAAGAACTAACAATATATCAGCTGAATGAGCAAAATTCAGTGTTTAACATACAAAGCTTCCTTACAACAAATGACCTTACATGAAACAACTCACACTTAGCTAATGCATAAAACACCTCAAGCATTTTTAACTCGAGAAATAAGACATTGTTTCACATCAAGTACCAGAATCGGCAGGTACTTTGCAAGAGCTGCTAATCCTGGAAGGGTCCCTAGAAAGACAACTTTGCCTGTGTCCTGTGCTCTGCATATTCCCTTCCTAAAATACAAGGTGACAGAAAAACTTAGGAACATTCCTCAAGATTGTACCTGCTTCTTTTGGGGGTTAGATCGCACAGCTAAAACTTGTATGTAAAACTACTGCCTACTTCTTGCTCACAGTAACACTGCCGTTAACATATTTCTATTGTCAAAGACAGTCTCTTTATGTGCTTAATCCTCATTAAAAGTAAAATAAATATGGAACAAAATAGAACACAGAATCCAAAGGTGAGAAAGACAACTCCCTAAACAGTACTTTCCATGTTTTTACACACGGCTAGAGACCGTTTCGGAGATAAGCAAGTCTGAGCACTCACTGCTCAGGAAAAGAAGTATTAAAGCACTGCATCAATAAAACGATAACCTGAAGAGAAAGCTACAAAACACTGTATAAAACTAAGGCAGCACTGTTCCATGCTACACTTAGAGAGTTTTATTTCTAAGCGTAATATACAGACACAAAGCTCCACGAAAACTAGATTACAAATGTAGTCTATTTCCAAAGTAAAACATAAGTAGATACATTTAACTTTCCTCGTAAAAATAACACACTTTGAAAAAGAAATATGAAAACACCTCTCTTTACTGGCCATCATGCACTTACAGTAAATGTATCAACTCTTTTCGTATTTTTAAAACCATCTGTTTTGCAACCTGGTTAAACACACTGCATGCAGAGAAGAGTATTTACAGTGTTATCTATTTATTATTTTCTAATCTCTTACCTGCATGCAGTGATACAAAATACCGTTTATCTGTGGAGAGACTTATACCACTCTGAACTAACTCTTTTCTTGAGTGTCTCCTGTATTTTGTTAAGAAAACTAGCAGAACTTGCAAAGTTCTTTTCTCTATTTACCTGGCTCTTATACAGAAAAGAACATACTTTTAAGTATTTAAAAGCAACTTATTTTCCTTCCCAGCATGCAGGTGAACAATTTTTACGATATTTTAAAATATTAGAGGTCAAGTGGTCTTCTGAAAGAGGGCAGCACAAGGCACTTTATCAAACCAACCGTGCACAATCCCAACTGAGGAAGTTGGTTTCAAAGAGAAAAGAAGAGAAAAAGCCCAAACAAACAAAGAGATCAAAACAAAGAGGGTGACAGTTTATTTCGAGCGGGGATGCGGCGGGGCAAGGGAAGCTGCCCAGTGCCTGAGCCTCACACCGGCCCCCGCCCGGGGACCCCGGCGGCTGCGGGGCCCGGCCCGGCCGGCACCACCGCCCCGCAGCGCCGCGTTGTTCGGAGGCGCGGAGCCCGCGGCGGGGCAGGGAGGCGAGGGGAAGGACGAGCTCCCCGTCTCCTTCTCTCCTTGACCCCGCGCTCCTCCCGAGGCCCGAGGGACTCCCCCAGTCCCAGGTTCAACCTCAAAGACACATGGAAGGAGCCCGCGCCCACCCCTCCGGCCGGGCTCCGCTCTCCCCGCGCCCGCGGGAGGCCGAGCCCCGAGCCCCCCCAAGACCCCGCCGCTCCTCGCTTCCGCCGTCCCTTCCCTCCCTTCCTGCCCCCTGCCCGGCCGGCTCCCGAGCAGCCCCGCCGGCGGCGGGCGGGCGGCGGCAGGCCCCGTCGGAGCCTGCCCGCTCAGCCTCACCTGTCAGTCGCAGCTTGACGGGCCCGTTCCGCCGGGCCCCTTGGTTGGACATGTCCCCGGCCGCTCCACGGGCTCGGCGCTGCCTTGCCCGGGGCTCCCCCTGCCTCTGGGTCCGGGAAGGGAGACGAGGGGGAGGGGAGGCGCTAATGGAGTCGGGCCGGGCGCTCAGGGCAGCGGCGGCCGCCGGAGGAGGAGGAGAAGCCCGGATGTGCCCAGCGTCGCCATGAGCGGGGCCGGGGCCGCGGAGGAGGAGACACGGCCGCCTTCCCCGCTTCCCTTCCCTCCGCTTCCCCGCCCCCTCACCCGGAGCCCGGGCGGCGAGCACAACAAAGCCGGGGACGGAGCCACACGGCGGGCGAACAGACAGACAGACAGACGGCCGCCGCCGCGCCGCGCCTCCCCTCCCCCGGCCCGGCCTGCCCTCGGGGGAGCCCGCCCCCCCTCGCCTCGGTCCGCTCGGGGATGTCGAGGGGGAACCGCATCAGGTGGCGGCGATGCTTGGGGTCCTCCTCGGGAGAACTGGGGCCGGGAGCGCCGGGGTGAGGGGAGGGACGCGGGGGAAGGTGACAGTGAAGTTGTGGGGACATTGGGGCAGGAGAATTAAAGGTACAAATGGGAGTGAACCCAAGACTGCGGGTGAGAACGTGAAGCCAGGCTCAGATGTAGTCACACGGAGGAGTGCTGCTGATGCAGGGCAGTATTTTGCATGGGAAGGGTGTGACAGACAGGGTCACAGAAACTCTTAAGCTTTGGACCAATTCACTCCTTATCTGCAGTTTATAGAAAACATCGGCCCAGTTCTGTGGGCTGCCATTGTCAAGATTAAAAAGAATAAAATAATAAAAGCCTTGCCTCGATGCTATGTGGCCTAATTTAACACCCATCCCAAAGAAAAGGTGACCCTTTCCAGAGTTTTCCCATGAGGGCAGCTCCATGTGTCAGGGCAAAGGAGCTTCTTTCTAGAGGGTGGGAGAAGCTCCCACAAAAGCTATGAAGGTTGCCACAGTGAAGTTAACTTTGGATGATCGAGCTAATAAATTGCACACCTGTGCTTACTAACAACCTTACTAATATTCTGTACTCATTTGGTCATATCATTGCAGTGGCTTCTTCCTGTTGAGGCAACCTGTAAAGTGTTATCATATGGGTAGTCATAGATCAGGATCCGGCCAGTGGATTAAGATCCAAATGTGTGATGAAAAGATGACATGAGCTTCACAGAGTTTATGATGTAGCTTCAGTGCAGCCCAGGAGGTTGACTGTCTGAAGTTACACACAGAACAGTGGTAAGTGTGTCTAGAGTTCCCATACTGGCAGAGCTCAGAACGTGGGCCTCATTAAACCATATCTCGGGCAAGGAACTGATGTTTTTCCCAATGAAGGCCTTGGAAGTGCTATGTGGCTCCTAAAGCTTTCCTCCCTTAAAACAAGACCTCTCCCCACCGCGGGTTCGTGTGCACTCACATCTCTTTCCTCCCAGAGTGTCTCTTCTTCCAGGCGGAAATTTTCAGTGTTTCCTGCTGTGGTGGCACTGCTGTTCCAAATGTCACTTCACCTGGGAGCAGGCAAGCGCTGGGATCAGGACCTGGGATCCCTTCCTCACACGAGACTACACTGCCTGTGCAATTCCCTGTTCAACACAAAACCACCAAGGGTTAGAAACGACCCTTTCCTTACAGGATAGACAGAGCACAAGAAAAAAAATGCTGATTCATGGCTTAGTCACTCTTTCAAGGAAAGAGAATTTGAAACAAGTCTAAATTTCACTTACTACAAAACAAAACTATATACCTGCTCATTTGATGTCTTATATGTGGCACCAAAACAGTTAAAAAGTTCCTTTATAATGGTTACATAAATTCACACGTACCTCAAAGACATTCCATGTGTCCTGATTCCTGCATTAAAAAAAAAAAAGAGAAGAAAAAAGCAGCCTGCATAACTGAAGGTCATACTATTGAAGTTTCAAATTCACACAGGCAAGTCATTATCCTTTTCTAAAACAAACTATATAAAGCAAATGGCTGATGCTGTGCAAATATTGCAACATTCAAGCCACTGCTAAGCTGAAGAGGATATCAAAATATAAAGTTACTTCTCACATACATAACAGATCTCTAAGTTACTTTATATTTTTTCCTGACATGATGGTGCTTTGTTTCTGGGCCCTGCAGTGCACTCTGGACCCAGTGTTCAATAAATCTGATACAATTTAGTATTTAATGTTATGTTAAACATAGTGCTCTTGCTACACAATCTGTTTTCTAATGGGTAACAAGTGTGTCAGGCATTAATTGCATTGCTAGTATTTAAAACAAAACCTATTGGGATTAAATATGGTATCTCATTGCTCAGTAGGTATATGAACATTTTAATGCTTTCATTACAAGTTTCTCTAAGATCTTGAAGTATAAGTAGTTTCATGCTGCTTTGCAGCTTTAAAGTCTGAGATTTTTGGATAGGCTGCTCACCTTTCAGTGGAAATACTACAATAGATTGCAAGTGTTAGAGCATTCACTGACAGTTTGCACATTTGGGTCACTGTATAAAATGCACTGTCTGCAGGATTGTTGCTGCTGCTACGCATTTTAATAGGTGCAATATTTGATTGTATTTATTTATTGTTTTTTAAATAACCTATATGGCTTACTAATACATCCAAAAATGCATCCGTGACATGTAAGAAAGTCCTATATGGTAGGAATGTATTTCACAGAGTGAAAGAAGAGAGGCTTTAGCCCTTGTTATCACCTGCAGGCACGGTACGTGTCCCATTTAGGTGAGGACTATGTCCTCCCTTGACTAACATAGGTAGAAATGACCTAGATCAGGTTGCACTTGGATAGACAAATGCACCAGCTGCAAACTGCTCACTTCTGCCTTTTTGGCTTTGTATAAGCATAACGATGACTGCACTTTGGATGTTCTACAGATGTTTCTGTCCCATCGTATCTCCCAATTCTGTAAGGAAATCAGGAATTTTATTTATTGCTCTCCTTCACAGAGTAGAACTGCCAAGCACAATTTAAGACAAGCTGCTCCATGAGGGATCTGTGCAAGATCTGCAGTGAGCAGAGGTCAGGATGCCTTGCAAAAGCGCCAAGAACTGCAGTGAATGCAAGACACTAAAGATACTGACAGTGCCTGATGATTGAAAGTACTATTTTGCCAACAGAAGAATTCCACACAGATGTTATGATCCAGAGTTTCTGGTGCCAGTGCTATCCCCCAAATTCTCAAAATATTCTCAGATTAATGGAACAGATAGCTCGTAGATTGTGCATTAGGTTTGGAAGCCAACAGTTTACAGTAAATGTTGTTTTTATGCAGTTCCATTTCAAGGGTGAGAAGAGGTTTCATGCTTCAGCGCTGATCTTGTGAGATAAGCAAGCAAATATCATCATTAACTGCTGACAAGTGATCCATGTTTCACTCTAGGCTGATATCACTGAGCAACAAATCCTTTCAAGATGAGGTAGCTAGCTCAGATCCGGAGGGAAGGGAGTGCCTTGCATCACCCTGCAACTCACTTTTGGATGACAGCCTTGCTGCTGGACTCAGGAGGGAGTCCTATCCAGTTGTCTTCAGCCAGAAGTTTGCAGCTGAGGCACAATCTCAAGGGTTGGAGGAAATATATAGAGAATGGGTAAGCTCAGGCATCTTTAGGACACTGACAACGTTGTAGAGGAGTACATAAGGACAAAATAATTTAATAGTTGGTATCATATTAGTGAAACTTTTGAAGAAGCATTTGTAAATACAAGAACTTCCTTTGTTGTATGGATGCATAAAAAAGGACTTTGGTTGCTTGAATTTCCCAATGGGAAGAAAAAGAAAACTTTGCATTCACAGATATTTCTCAAAGGATATTGTGGGTTTTGACACTGGGAATTGTGAACAAAAGTTTTTAGCCAAATAGTATTCATTTTCAGAAGAGGACAGTTTAGTTAATTTGTTTTTGGAGGTGAGGTCCTCTCCATCTTTGGAACAGAGGAGCACACTGGAAACTCCTTCCTCAGCATGTGGTTTGTGCTCAAAGCAAATCAACATTTAAAAATTACATTCCATCTCTTTCTCTTTCTTTATAGAGGTTTAATCACACCATTCTTTCAGCAGTAATGAGAGCTGGCTGGTGTGATACCGCATTCTTCCCCAGCTTTTGTGATGATCTCAAGAGAGCAAGACAGTTCAGCCCCTATTACTAAGCTTTTGTAAGTAAATTAAAAGCTATTTTCATGACTTTTTTTTTAAATAAAGATATTTTAAATTATCTGGATTGTATTTCTTTCTACTAGTTGTCATTTACTAAATTTCCTAGAGCCTGTCATAGTTGAATTATAGACACCACCCACAGAGATCATGGAGTTAAAGACAGAGTTGATCAGAAGAGGATTACACATCCATTTCCTTTTTCTCTATGATATATTGCCATTGTATGTGCAACTGTTAAAATAAAATGCCTGGTTTTGCCACCTAATGGTGTAGTATTGAGAAGAATAGTATTACAGCAGTAGATACCTAGGCAATAATCACACCACCAGTGTTCCCTGCCTCTTTCTTAATTTGCCTGATAACTCATCCCCTTTCAAAGCATTCCCATTGTCACTTGGCTAAACATCACTCTAAAGAAGCCTTAGCTCTCTTGCCTGATGTGTACTTTTCATTAGACTGTACTATCTGTCCCAAGCTGATTTCTACCATTAACAGCAAGGAGCTTCAAAGAAAGAACTTCCTCTTACCATGTTAAAACAGTGCCTTGTAACAAGTAGGCCTCACCTAAGCTGATGTCCCAACACAGAACTCAGTAAAATCTAGTCATTAGACAGGATTAGCAGCCTTGACCTGTTCCATCATCTTCCCTTGCAATGGGCATCATTCTCGTAGTCTGCCTCTTTGGCACAGGTTTTTCTTCTAATCCTTCTGTAAGCAATCATTACTTCTTATTGTAGTAAAAGCACTTCCTAAATTCATTGCAGCTCCATCACGTTTTTGTCCTGTTCCTGCATGGAATTGTGTCCTCTATGAGGCTTTCTGTTACCGTCCCTGCCACTCTTCTGTATAGAAGGATCAATCTCCACTGAAGACATGTATAAAGTTCTTCTGCATTTCAGGAAGAAAGATTAGAAGTGAATAGTCTCATTTTGTGAAAGATTCCTAATTTCCCTTTGCAGAGTATGAAAATTACCAGACCAAAGCATTGTTTGCATTGCTGTGAACTGGACAGACTACATTAAAGTATTCAGATGCACATGCTCGTTTAATAGTGTCA